AAACAATCTAGAAACGAGGCTCCGCGAGACCTCATGTCGGATCATTTGAGGGGTTCAGGTTCATTTGTTTAGAATATGTTCGGAAATCATCGAGTAATCTCGGGATGAATCGGCTTTTTGTTCGGATGGTGATGAGCCAACGCCTCTTACATAAACCCAGAGCCTGCATGCATCCTCAGGTCTGTTGCAGAAGCACGTCTTTAGTCTGGGTTTAACCACTCTGCTGATCGATAGGCCTACTTCTCAGCGCAATGAATGGTGTTTCATATGGTCTTAATGTTCATTATTTAATGTTACATTCTGTTCTTGTACATATCATATTCTATGTAAATGTAGATATACTTCTTGCACTATTTTCTATTTGTATTTTAGTATACATGTTGCATTGTTGGGGGAGCTCAGGTCAGGAGAATTGTATCTTATGAGCTAATGATGATAAAACCTTTGAGTCTTTGGTCCACAGTCCTGCAGAGTCACAGGTCTGGGTCTAACCATAGACTGGGATCAGGTCTGGGTCTAACCATAGACTGGGATCAGGTCAGGGTCTAACCAGTAGTCCTGGTCCTGGTCCACAGCCCCTCAGGATATAAATACTAGTCCCTCTTCTTCTCTGAACACAGCAGTTAGCCCCAGAGGAAGTGCTGAGTCACTCGGTGTATTTCAATCTGCAGCATGACCCAGATCCTCTCTCAAACCTTCTGGAAGAATCTGATTTAAAAATATCTCCGTATTTAAATATATAAATACATCCCTCCCTGATATGGTCTAAGACTCACTGGAGAGGGAACTGGGTCTCTGTAGTCCACTGGTTCCAGGATGCCCTCCCTGATATGGTCTAAGACTCACTGGAGAGGGAACTGGGTCTCTGTAGTCCACTGGTTCCAGGACGCCCTCCCTGATGTGGTATAAGACTCACGGGAGAGGGACTGGGTCTCTGTAGTCCACTGGTTCCAGGACGCCCTCCCTGATGTGGTCTAAGACTCACTGGAGAGGGGACTGGGTCTCTGTAGTCCACTGGTTCCAGGACGCCCTCCCTGATGTGGTCTAAGACTCACTGGAGAGGGACTGTAGTCCACTGAAAATGAGCTGATCAGATTTTGGCCACTTTATGATGTCATCATAACGATGTTTTGTCTTGTTTAACCATTAGCCAATCAGCAACCAAGGTAACCCCCCCCCACCTTATTACCTGAATCTCCTCCTAGAGCAGTGGTTCTCAAACTTTTTTCAATAATGTCCCGCTTTGAAAAAAACCCTCAGCCAAGTACCCCCTGATCAGCGCAAGAACAGTTTGTTAGGGAAAAGCCTATATAAAGATTATTTATTGCAGTTATTACATTTCGTGTTTTGAAATATGTACAACTCTGTTAATAGAAAACCCACACTGCTCAAACTTCGTTACTTTTCCTAAAATTGGTATATTTATTTATTTATTTTAACATGGAGGTGCTTCATGTTTGGAACGTTGTGAAGTCTTTAGTTTCTCAGCTGCTCTCCGGGGAGATCATGGTTTGAGTTCTTCTCCCCACTGAACATTGCGAAACCACGATAATGCAGCTCAGTGATGGAAACAGCTGCGGGCAGGAACTGGTTTTTGACTTCCTGTCTGTGCTTTCAACCACTTCGTGCATCTTCAATGCTTAGGTTTTGTATTCTCGATCTCCTTTCAGATAAACATTTCTTTGGTGGCACAAGCAAAACAAAATGAGCTCTGCGATTGGATGTTTCTCTGCAATCTACATCACAGTTGAATTCTCTCTTTGATTTCCTTCTGACTCTTTATAAGAAGATATTTAATGACTTAATAGTTTATTTTGTGTACTGATAATTCAACCAGGATAGTTAAATGTCCATCCTACTCTTTTTAACCCGACAACCTGCAGGAAATGAACAGGAATTGTACTTTTACACAACTGAAAACATATCCAAGCCAGCTTCAAAATAGCTATTTTCTTGTACATAATCTGTTTCAGGTAAAGTTTCTGTATTGAAAATAATACCCTTAGTAAAGTATAATAAGCAAACATTTTAGAAGTATTTTTGTAACACCTGAAAAAGTATTTTGGCCTCCTAATAGCACTCTTCCACTCTGCTTTGGTTTAAAATGTCCAATGCATTGGTGAAAGAATACAATCTGAATCTTTTGAATGCAGGACTTAACCCAGGTACAGAGCTGGGAAGTAGTGGAGTACAAATACTTCTTTACTGTCCTTAAGTACATGTTTCTGGTATCAGTACTTTACTCCACGACTTAATTTTCTGACGACTTTTTACTTTGACTTCTTACACTTTGAACATAAATACCTGTACTTTCTACTTCTTACATGTTGAACTCAAATACCTGTACTTTCTACTTCTTACATGTTGTAACACAAATAACCTGTACTTTCTTACTCTTATATGTTGAACACAAATAACCTGTACTTCTTACTTCTTACTATAGTTGTAACACAAATAACCTGTACTTTCTTACTTACTTTACTATAGTTGTAACAACAAA